CCGAAACCGCAGACGAAGCAGCAACAACAGAAGCAACATTTACGGGGGTTTCTCAGCATGATCCCAAGCATCTTGAAGATGTTCCTTTACCTGCATGTGTAATTTCCAGCAAGGCTTCAAGCTTGCCACGTGGGATTCCCGGTTGAAACACTGAATATTGCACATCCATATGCCTGTCTGTTTCATGTGTCACATGCATGTATCCGTACTTGCTGCTCAATGTTCAAGCAAAGTGTCGCTCCTGCGTGCCTGTATTAATGCCTGCACCTTTGCGAGGGTCTAAACGCCCAGGTTACATCGGCGGTGGGGGGGGGGGGTGGCCGGGGCGGAGGGTCCTGAAGTTCCCCCATTCCAATGGGAGCACTCGAGGTAGTTTGTGGTCCTAAGACTTAAGGGCTTGCTTAGCACAAGCAGCAGCGGAATGCCTTTGGCGAGAGCCCAGGTTTAGCCTGTGAAAACCATTTGCGCCAGTATGAGAAAGGCCATACATACATGAATGCAGTGGCCATGTCTGTCATTGCTGCCAGCACTATGCATAGGCCAGGGGGCCCTGGGCATTAGAGTTTCAAGCGCACATTGCACTAGTTTCCTTTTGCTGTATGCATGATTGGTGTTCTTGACTACGGCCATCGCACTCATACGTGTGCCAATTCTTCGGTCTCATAAAGGTCAAGCGTTAGAGAAGTTTGTTAGGCTCATACAACTGGAAGTACACGTCAAACAAGAAAAAGTGCACAGATCAGCACGCTCTTCTCTTTGCACACTAACTTTGTGAGGTCTGCTAGTTGGAGAGACTTGTCTGTATATGATCAAGACGTGGTTTCTGCGTCTTGGAATGAACTAATGCAAAGCATCCTTTCGCTCTAGGTGAAGCAAGTGCTGTGGTTTCGTCAGTCTGTTTTTGGGAGGGGACCCAATTTTTTTGTTTGTTTTTGTTCTCGGCCCTTTTTTGTTTCGTCCTTCGGGGGGCGGGTGACGGGAAGCAAGGCAGGAAGGAAGAAAGGAAGGAAGGAAGGAAAGCGGGGAGGAAGGAAGGACGGCAGGGAGGCAGGAAGGAAGGAAGGAGGAAAGACCAAGAAGGAAGGAACGAGCGGAGACGGAAGGAAGGAAGGAAGGAAGGAAGGAAGGAAGGAAGGACGAACGCTGGAAGGAAGGAAGGAAGGAAGGAAGGAAGGAAGGCAATATGAAGAATCAGACGAACAATAATAGCAAGACTACGGGTCATAATAAGCCGACTTATATACTATTAATATCAGCAAATACTAGTACTGATACGACGTCGGGAAGGGAGGCAATATGAAGAATCAGAAGATCAACAATAGCACGACCACGGGTAATAGTAAGCAGACTTATATACTAATATTATCAGCAATACGAGTACTAATACAACGTCGGGCTAAGTTGCTTAACTGCAGGCTCATCAGATACAGAAGTGCTTCTGCCTCGACCCTACAGCAGAGTTTTTTTGGTGAAGTATAGTTTCTCATAGGGTCCACATAAACATGGAAATGCGCAGATCCACCCCCCACCCAGCACCACAAAAAATGGCCCCCCCCCAAAAAAAAGACAAAAAAATTCACCACCCGTTTTTACAAGTTGGAAGCTTTCCGCAACGGTTTAGGCTCGTTTGAATCTGGAAAACTTTTGCTTCCGAAGATGAAGTATGATTACATCTCGATGTAATTGTTCGGTTTTGACCATGGACCTTCCAAAAACCCACTTTTAAATTTGGCCTAATAAACATCATGAGTTTACTGTCTCGCTGCATACCAGTAGAATTTGCTTAAGGACTTGTGTTCGTTCGCTAGCGGGATACCACATTAAGTCATGATTCAATTGCGTAATTAGGCGTTCGGCTTGGTAATCACCAGAAATGTAGTATGTTCCTATCACGTTCGAAGGAAAGCTGGCCTAAACAAGTAGGTCGCAGATTTTTTATTGGGCTTAGGGATTGCAAGCTCCGAACCTGCCGTGTGGATCTTTCTAGAACTAGGTTGTGCTGTTCGTTTCGCCGCATGCCAGTAGAATCTGCTTAAAGATGTGTACGAGTACGCTACCACCAGTAATGTGGTTGGTTCCTATCAGGTTTGAAGGAAAGCTGGCCCAAATAAGTAGATCGCCACAATGACCGGCACAGGTTCACCGGGCTTAAGGATTGCAAGTTCCGAACCTGCCAGTTCGGTAGCGGGATACCACACTAAATCTTGATTTACAACCTGGCATACGTGTGCTGCTGGAACCTGAGCAACGGAAAACTTCTTGAGGCATGCATCCCAGTATCGAGCTGGACATGGCGGGGTGGCTGTCGAGTGCGCTGGTTTCATGTTCGTGTATCTTACGGGGTTGAGGACCAGTTTCGAGAGCCCACGCCACAAGAGATCATGCCAAGCACGTCCCAAATACGGCATGACCACGGCCCAAGCTAGAACATGAGCAGCAGAACATTTTTTGGTAGTAGTTACGGGCATCGGGGCAACTGCAGCCGGTATAGTGTGCTCCTAGGCAACAGCGCGATTTGCGTCGAAAATGATACCAGGCCTCGAGAAATCTAAAGTGTTTCTTTTATTGATTGTCATGATTTGGTCCTCTTTAGATCTATGCCTTCTATGCACATCTCCGCATGTGGGACGACGGGTCTTTGTACCCAACATGGCAACGGACTTTGCCTTTTCAGCTGAAGTCCTTTTCTGGGACATGCAATGCAGCTCAGTTTTCTTTAGTGAGTGCATGGAAGCTGGACTCTCGGACTGTGCATTGTTCGTTTTCGCTTTGTTAGGCTGAACAGAAGTGGTTTGATGAACACGAGCTTCCGGCATTACTTGCCTTTGCCAGCCGCGGGTATGTATTATACTTGTGGTATCCTCGCTGTCTTTTATCTTCAATAATTTCAATACTTGCTTATACATGGTACCTTGCGGCTTGCGTTAGTCCTTGCTTGGGCCTACGGGCCGGGGGACACCGATGTTGGAGCGTGTGCTGGTCCTGCGGGGCAACACGCGGCTCTTTGCTCTTTTCCTTGTCTCGGATCACATATGTGAGCGATTAAGTTCGCCGCGCAATACGCGTGTCCTACCTCTCGCAACGCTTGGACGCCGAGCAGCGATTCAAAATTCAAAAAACCAGGCCTCGAGAAATCTAACCTCTCCACCCCGAAAGATAGAACCAGAATAAGGACAGCCGGCACGCTTCAACAGCTCGCCCTCTCACGTGAGGGAGCATTCGTGGAGGAAAGGTTTTTACGATTTTTTAAGCTGTTCGACTTGAACGTGCGGAGCAAAGCAAGCATCCTTTGAAGAGTCCCTGGCGGCACTTTGCGCGGCGCACCCACCGGAAGACACAAGTACTTGAGGCAGGTGATGCAGGAATTTCGTTGAAATCAACAAAGGAAAAAAAACTACCAGATCACACTTGCCACTGAGGCACTTGGCATCCTTGATGCATCTCGTTTCATACACTAGTGTTTTTTTTGCAGAGCATCATCTTACAGAGGCGCTGGCTGAGCGGGGGGAAGAAGACCAGCTTATTGCTGCACGGTTTCCGTACCACTCGGCCCTTGGCCACCATCCAAGCGTCCGGACGGTCTGGACGAGAGAGCTGCACGCCACCCGGGAGGCCCCTGAGCGTCACTGGGGAAAGTGTGCTGGCAGCATCCACCGCCTTGATCGGACGAAGCTAGGTCCGCTTCGTATGTTGGTGACCACAATTTGGTGGGTGGTAAACTTGCGTTCCGGAGTATGCTCACGTATGTCTTTCTGAATATTTGAGTTCTGTTGTTCTGAATATTTGAGTTCTGTCGTTCTGTTCTGCTGCCTGCTGCGAGGCAGTGTGTCCTGGTTGATTCCAGCATCGGCAGTTGCCAGCTCCGCTCCAATGAGGCACGAAGAGCTCTCGATAGCCAGAAGTTCGCGGATCCGCATCGGACAAAGTGCATGATCTCTGTAATAACATTGGTCGCCGCCCAAATGGACCTTGATCAGAAATGAGGTGCTGGTCGTGGGGCCGGTCGTGGAAGTGCCTTCGCCTTCGCATGAGAGTTGGCAAGGGCCTTCGCCTTGGACTTTCTGGGCCTCGTTTGCCTTGCGTTTGGTTCGACCGGAGATTCCGTTTGAGATGCTCTATACCTCGGCGACGAGGCACCCCAAGAAAGATTTCCGCCGCGGCTGCTTGTGATTTGTCGCTCCAATCCTCAGTTGATTCAAAGATGAAAGGCCCTGTCATGTACATGCCCGCGTCCGTATGTGCATGCACGTGTGCTTGCGGGCAAGCTTCGAGATGTAACTGTGCAAGCATTGGTGGAAGAGAACGCTGCTCCAGAGCCTCACACAGTGCTCGGAACATGCGAAGGTAGATAGTGCGAAACACGCCTGAATCTGAGTAAAAAAGTTAGCCTCGTTTCCTGCTACTTTACCCCAGCAGAGATCAGAAAACACCAACGACTGGCTCATGACTCTGCAAACAAAGTGCTGATTATTCTTTAAGAATGGTTCAAAATAAAATCAGCAACTGTAAAGATTTTGGCGGACTCAACATTCTCTGGCATCAAGGCCTGCAGGGCATCTAGGACGCCGGCCAACGTGTCAACCCATTGAAACGGCCTCTGCAAGTGACAGAAGGACATATCGCTGGCAGGCACTGTCTTGATAAATTCCTCAAAAGCTCTCTTGGCTTTCCACAAATTCTAAATGACCAAGGCCCTCAGCCATTCTTCCTGCGCGGAATATGGCCTTCACCCTGACACTTGCCACAGAGATACCCTTTGCCTCCAGTCGCTTCACCACTGCTCCAGGAGTGGCCTTGCGCTGGGTTGACAGTAGCTCCTTTATCGCCCCGAGAACTTGCTGCCTCTCAGCCACCTTGGTCGTCTCGTAGTACCCGCAAGACTCTTGCCCGGGTCATCGCCGCAAGTTCCAGCCTTCTGGATGGAGAGACGATACACAGATCTTTCGAGAATACCCACAAACTTGTGACACGTGCTTCGAGAGGCATGGCACCTCTCATGCTTATGACGTAACGATCGGGAGCTTCTGCAAAGGAGACTCCCGCAGCACCGACAACAACTTGTTGATGCCATCTCCACAGAACTCCTCCGGCGACAAGTTGCGGACCATGCCTTTCGCCGCGCCGGTCAGCTTGTTCCGAACCCTCGCTGCATCAAGGTGGCGCTCATTGTCCTTCAAATTGTTGTGGTACCATTTGCAGGCCGTGACAAACTTTTCAAAGCAGTTTGGGCCCCGGTCCCATGTAAGAACCTCTGACCCATGGGTGTTGTGTGCCATTCTGCTTCCAATCTTTAAAGAGAAGCCGTCTTCACAGGAACGAAACTCGCCCACATGCCTTGCCACAGCCATGTTCTCGAAGAGAAAGTCGCCCTTCGCAGGCCCACTGGAACTCTCCAGGTGAGCTCCGCCTATCGTGAAATCGGACGGTCCGCCCACAAAGCCCTCAGCAAGCAAAGCACCCTCTCACTCTATCCTTTTGCCACCCGGCTCTGTCTGCTCGAGTGCCCGTGCCCTCAGAGGAAAAGCTTGTAGCTCACATGCGACACATGCTGCTGCACAACACTGGGGAACTAACATACAACTTACCGCCATCCTGGAGCGCTGTGCCACTCTTCAATGTCTCGAACTACACCCGTCTCAGCCCGCCTCCTTTGCGGGAATGGCCAGGTTCGCCCCTCACAAACGGACGGTGACACCAACTGCGGAGTACGAACATTCGTGAACTTTGCGCTCCCTGGCATCCGTGCATGGGGCAAGCAATGCATGAATTTAGCCAGCAACGAAGCCTGAGCTGCAGACTGTCAGACCCAGACAGAGCGTCTGAGCGTCTCTGCACTGAGCAACAGCATTGCCCCAAAATGACCATCCGCATGCAAAGCTGTGGCCAACAGGCGTGAGCCTTTAACGGGTCCTGAAATGGCAAAAGAGCTTGACGTGGTTGCCGATGGTGGCAACAATAATGACAAATCATGACTGCACACGTGGCCCGCGTCCTGCAGGAAGCTGGCTGAGCAAATATCCTCAGTCAGCAAGACGTGCTTGTACAGTTTCACGCGTGCCCATTCAGCACTTTCAGCAATCTCCAGGCATTCGGCAGAACATGCAATGGACATCGAAACGGGCAAGTTAGGCTGGGATGTACCCGAGCCCCACGGACTGCAGCCCGCCCATCTCAAAATGACGACGTCCCTTGCACGTTGCAACACGAGGGCCGACAGGCTATCCTGTTTTCTGTGCGGCAGTAGCTCACATGAAATGTTAGGCATCACGTTGGCTCGTCCTTTGCGGTGCCCTCGGGGCTCTCTTAGTTAGCCGGGTTGTTCTATTGTTGTTCAGTTATGCTTCTGCATCACGTTTAGAGGGTGGGTTTCGCTTAGGGCTCATGGTGCAAATGCGATCCCTGAGCATTCTGGAACCTAGTGCGGAAACCTGAATGAGAATACGTCATGGATACCCCGGAGCTGGCAACCTTCGTTCCAGCAGGATTTTGGCCAAGAGGCCTACACTGGAAAGTGGATTGAAGAAGCGCAGCTGAGCACTGTCCGCGCTGCACAGAGGAACAGCCCTCTGAACCCCAAATAAGTGAACTCTTGACGAGCCCAAAGACCTCTGCTGAGGTGCGCTTATTCTTGAGCGAGGTGCCAACTGCCAAGGTGGACACCCTGATCCGCGCCAGCAAGTTGGCCCAGGAGGCTCGCCGAAACGCCGAGCAGGTCCTGACCTTCCATGCCCAGAACAACAGGCCGAAGAAGGAAGCACTGTTGGAGTGGTTGATGCACTGACTCCAAAAACCATGCTTTCGGGCGAGAGGATGCCTATGAACGTGGTGTCCCGGAGATCGACCAAAACCCCAAAGAAAGAGTTTTGGCTCGAACGGCTCAGAGGTCCAGGCGATTACCATTGACGAGGACTTCGTGTTCCATATCATGTGGATGGAACTCCATGGAGTCATTCCTCAAAGAGGCCAACTTCAGCAGCAAGTGCGAGACTCCACTCATGGAGCCCTGGCGATGGATTCCAGAGGAATCTTTGACTCCATGGTGAGGAACACCTTGGGGGTACATGGCCCTCGGAGTTCTCGTGGCGACTACGAGCTTACTCTTGCCGTGAAACAAGCATTGGCATGCAATACCACTCTGCGTTGGGTGGCTGGAACGGAGATGATCGCCGATGCTTTGACCAAAGCTTCTGCCCGGCACTGGCCCAAACAAGCCAAACGGGACTGCCTATCATCACGTTGGCGCCGCACCCGTCCGTTCCACAAGTTGAGTTCGAGATGTCTGACAGTCCAAAGGTTCAGAAGGAATCCGGCACGCAGAAGTTTCATTGGTGGGTCAGCGGAGAGACTGCGGAGGAGGACGCGATCGAGGCTTTGAGTCCTGAAGGCCATCCCCTGGCATTTGGCCGATTTCACGCAGCACACTTCACCTTCAGCGCTAAGATCGATAGCAAGACACCTCGCTCCGGCGACCCAAAGATCTTTGATCGGGGCACGCCCATTTGCACCATCAAACATCTTTGGGAACTTTGCTTTCGGCCACGCTGAGAGGATGCACATCTCTGCCAGGCCACTGACTTACCCGTTGGAATTGCGGTCGCAGGGACTCGTGCGGAGGCGCTTCCATAGAGAGAATAAGAGACATGAGTTCGAGGGGTTACCGTATCGGCTCATTGTTGCTGTTTGACTGTGAATAGCTTTGCGTAGTAACGTGGTGAGTTGGAGATACACTCCAGCTTCTGCAACTTGGCCACATTGCAGTTCGCAGCTTGTGATTACTGCGGGACCATTTTGGCTCCACGGAAGTGTGATTTTGAGCACAGTGCATTTGCCGGCTTTTGAGCCGGACACATTCATCCGCAGTTTGGCTTGTAATCCAAGATGAGCAGCTCTTTCAGTTCTTGGCCATTAAACTCGTCTCTGATCGGAATCGTATCCATGCGGCCCATTGGATTGAAGCAAGTAGAGGCAGTATCGATTGCTCATGTGGCTTGAACCCTCCCTTTGGCCCTTGACCTTCACTAAACCCCCTTCGGAGGCCGCTCTCAGATGGGTGGAGCGGCATCAGCTGTCAGACGGCTGACACGGAGTTTCACCAACAAGGTGCAGCTTCACTGCAGTTGTGGTATGCATGGTACCATGCATTGTCTGTTTGGGGCTTTCACCCGGCTTAGCATGTGTCGAGTTAGGTTGGGAGTTGATAAGCAAAGAAAGTTTTAAGAGTTGAGCATCGCGAGAACCTTCGTGAGTGCTGTTTTTGCTGCTGATGCTTTGTGAGAAAGGTGCAAGATCGGGTTGAAGGCAGCGGATCTAGAATCTAGCGGGGACCATGTCCGGGGCTTCGGACCGCGGTGCGGCTGGTGCTCGTGCTTCCGTGGCTGCCGTCAAGTGCAGAGTGTAATTCATACATTCATACCGCTGGCCGCTGACCTCACGTCGCCGAAATCGTGATGGACATCACGCAACAGTGCTCCAGGCCCATGCTGTCCTTTGCAGTGTCTCGGTGTTTTGTGACGCGATCAAGCCTTTGCGGCAAGTGGCAGACAGCTCTGACTCGCCGGAAAGCAGTTTCAACGTTTTGCATGTTGGAGCTTCCTTGCCAGTGTGACCAGTCCTTCAGCAAAGCAGAGCAGCAACCGTGAAGTTCTGTCCGTGTAAATGAGGCATCGGTCATGGCATTGCAACTGCTAAGCTTGCGGACAGAACTTACATGGGATCTGATATGTGACTTGCCCGGTGGTTGTCGATGCGTGTTCCACCAACGCTACTTCTGTCTATTCATGTCCGGTCTCGTGATCTCTTGTCAGAGCTCGCGCTCCACTTTTCCACGATCTGCTAACCTTTTTCCGCTGAACCTGTGCTTCACCGTTCCCTCGCCGAAGCAGAGCTTCCACCTCGAACAAAATCAGCATGTTCAGCTGGGACATATGTACCCCGACACACTGCATTCCTGCAGTAGTGAGTTCTGAGGTGCATCCGGAGAGGCCGTGTCCAAAGCAAGACACCGCCGAAGGAAGGGAGCGTGAAAGCCTCAGATGGGTTTCGAGTCTTGCAGCCGTGCAGCAGACGTGAGGAGAATCGCCAGAGGAGCACTCGAGTAACTCGAGGAGGGACCTGAACAAAGAGTCAGGTCTCGGTCTCCGACCGAGGGCCCAAAGCGAAGGAGGCCCAGGCCCAGGCCCAGGCTTGGAAGAGGAGCCCTGGGTCGAAGATCGCCGAAACGTGCCGAGCCGGAGCCGTGGGCGGAGCGGAGGGAGCGGAAAAAGCGGAGGGGGCGGAGGGAGCAAGCCGGACGCGAAGACCGCTTCCGAGCCGAGCCCGGCGAGGCCTGGGGCGGCTGGGGCTTTTCGGGAGCGGTCTGAACTCGTCGCTCTGCGCGTGGAGGCGGCAATCGCAGCCAGAGCCGGAGACGAAGGCCGAGGCGACCGAGGCGACCGAGGCGGCCGAGGCGACCGAGGCGGCCGAGGCGGCCGAGTCAGAGCCAGCAGATCCGGTGTTGCCTCAGCCACAGACTTGGGCGGTCTCTGCCACGGAAGCACGGGAACTCCGCTGTTCTGAGGTCGCAGGATGGCGTTTGTCACGATCAAGCGGGTCAGCCGGTGCCAAAAGCAGAGGTGCAGCAGCACATATTTTATGGGCAATCCCTTGCGATTTTCTGCCTGAGATCGCCATTCCGCCGGACAAGCCTCAATCGCTGCCTCATCCATGGGTGCGCTTGCTGACTGTTGTCGCACTGCTGCACCACTTCTTCTGCAATCTGGATTCCCATGGAAAACTTGTGCAACGAGAGGTTCGGGTCCCGCATGAGGCCTCTCAGCCAGAGATTATGTTGTTGCTTGACAGCCGTTCCATGCGTTGGAAAATGTTGGTAAGATGCCAGGACGACTCGTACTACTGGAACACCGAAACGGATGAGGTCACGTGGGACTTCCCAGCCGATGACTCAGTCGGATGATGTGCGGCAAGATGCCTTGTTGCGTCGTTTTCATGTGCTTGTGGGTGCGTGCAGTGTGTACATATATGCATATATATGTATATG